GGATGGGGCTTTGCGGAAATTTACCAAAATTGAGAGATGTTATATCAATTTCTACGCCTAATAATTCCAAGAAAGTAATTGGAAATGATAGTGTGTCCAATTGGTCCGTATCAATCGATTTACATTCACAATGCTAGCGTATGGCTTTCAAAGCGGTTTCAGGGAGAATGTTAGTTTGAGTAAAGTTCAGCTACTTGCGTTGAAACTGTATCTGCGGACGAAATCGATACGTGTTTCTCTAGTTGAAATTTTCAGGAACTTTATCTGCTTCGAGATTGCAATTTATTGTTCAATAGTGATATACTTTCTGCTCATGTTTTCTAAGTAATGGCTTAAATGACTCAATGTGGCTTGTCAGCCAAAATACAGGGATCGAAACCTATTTGAAGAATTTAAGTCGATTGGCTTAAAAAAATACTTAGCAAATTTAGTGTTGGAAAAAAGACTTTCTGGAGAGATAAATAACAAAACATTTCGTAAGTCGTCTAGAAGTAAGTAGTGCCATCTGAATTTCGGTTGCAAAAAGTGACTTGGAAAATAAAATTATTAAACATTTTCCTATTCATCTGAGAAATCTCATCACGTTACGTTATAAACTTTGAGAGTACAAAATGATTTAGCAGGTATAATAAATGGAGATTGTCAGACTTAACGATGCAAAACGATTTTGAGAGAAAAAAAATATATGAAACAGTGTATCAGATATCTAGAAATCGTCCGTACTGCAAATAATATTTTGAAAACGCTAAGCGACTTGGAAGATGAAACAATTATAAACAACTTTCTAGGTTTTAGTTCGCCAAATGAGCTCCTGATCAATTTCGTATTGAAGATCGCACTTTTTGAAATCAAGAAATAACCTATGACCAGACAATGATTTTTATTTGCTGCACGTCGTCTATTTGAGGAATTCTCCGTTTTGGTGAAGGCTAGAAGTTCAAATTACAATGCAAAAACCTCAGAAGCACCCCAAGCCCCTATCTGACCATCCAGTCTGATCCTTCACGGTGGTGCGAATTCTGGTGAAAGTTACTTCCGCCCTTAGTATCATACATTTCTTATATGTTGTTCTCATGGAGAATTCCTTGAACAACGTTTGACTTTTGAAGTGATTAATGTTTGTGTGGAAGGCTTTAGAGTTGACGTAAGGAATATTGTGCGACATTTTAAACGATTGTTCTAAAACACTGAATTTAAATCACCGAGATCGAGTCAATTATTTTCAAACAAAAGAATTTTCAAATTTTGGCTCTAATTTTTATCAGTGCTATTTGCATACGCGCAAAACTCAGCGTCACATGAAAACCATTCCACTCAAACAAAAACTGAGATGGCTTTTGAGTCACCCCTGATAGGAGCCGAGATCGAGGGACAAAAATTATGCGAAAAAATTGCCGCGAAATTGTGTGAAAATGTTTTGAATAATAAAGAACCGAAATTTGGCGGGACAAATACATGTTTTCGTGCAAAATGAAAAAAAAAAAAAAATTAATAATAATTCAAATTTTCCAACAGCTTCTTTTCAGGGAAGAATACAACAAATGCTATGTAAATTGACTAAAATTATCCCGAGAGAAAATGGTGGTTCTTTTACCAGTTTGCCAGTTTCACTTTGATTGATTTCTTTGCAATATTAATTCAAAAACAGAGGAGTTTCAGTTCAGGAGGAAGATGTAGTTAAATAAAACAACGATCTTTTAAGCACTTGATTATTAAACCACCATTTTCACGGAACATATACAGTGTATTGCAATAAGTCTTATCTCTTGTTGTCTTCTCCTCAACCACTGTTTGAAGCTTCAGATGATTCCACTGAATTCCTGCGTCAGTCTTCCTTCTCTCTTGCTCTTCCAAATGAGCAAAACCTGTAAATAATGGAAAATTCCAGCTGAAAACCACCTTTCTTTTGGCTAAACGGCTCATTTAAGACATCTAGAATGTTTGAAAATTTGCTTGAAATGCATACATAACCTAAGACATTTTTCACTCTTGTATTAGTTGACTTCAAGCGACCACTGAGTTGCACGCGTGCTGCAAAATTTTCAGGACTTCATTGCGCAAAGTAAAAATGCATTATTGTCGTACAATGTTACTTTGAGAACCAAAATTTTGTAGAACGATGCAACATTAGCCGAACTAGAACGAAGAACTGGCGTTCGACGAACAAACTAGCACTTTCAACCACTGCACGAGCTAATCATGGTTCTAAGGCCTTCTTTACAGAGTTTAACTACAGCTTTGAGATAGTTGCGCGAACTTTTCTACTCACCGTTGTCTGGAATAACTCGAATTTATTTCGTCCTTTAGGCCTTCAATATTCTCTTCGTTCAGAAACTGGGTGGTGGTCTTTACATCAAATTCAACATTGGGGTCTTCACACATGTACAACCTTCATTGTTTGACTCAGATTGCACGAATCTTCATGAATTTTGATTGAATGCTGTAACCAATCAGGTTTCGGATCGCTATAGAATCTAAGCATGTTTTGGGACAAACAGCTTTGAATATTTGAACACATTATTGTTCAGGTTTTGCATTTGCATACATACATGAAAGGTTAATAAATTTACTCTCAGATGCCGTGTGCTCTTGGCAACATTACGTTTCAATTCGAAAGCATTTCAACAGTAAATATATTCGAGAAATAAAATGATAAAAAAATAAAATCCAGCAGGTTCTTTCTATCTTTGACGCGAGGGGCGGTAAACAGAGAAAAGGAGAGGGAGAGGAGTAGTTATCTAGGAGGGGAGGGTGGGGGGTTAGTAGTGAGGCAAGAAAATAGTTTCTTGGTGGGGGAGAAGCTATTAGAATGGATGAAACTGGAAAAGTGAGAACTGCTAAAGTCATTATCGGTTTTGTGTTTGGCATCAATTTAACTCCGAGCCAAAATTTAGGAAAGCTTTTTTTTTCGAATAGAAGAATAAAAACAAAACACACCAAAACAGAAACATAACAAAAACGTAAAAAGGAAAAAGACAAAATGATTCGCGACCCTTTTATAAATTGAACCAATATTCCAACGATGACAGTGCAACATTGTAACCATTTGGGCTCAGAAGACACTGATATTGACAATTAGTAAGTCTTAGAATCATTGTCCTCTAAAATCTACCTCTTTTTGAAACCTTGCCTAAGCTCTTTTTCTCGTAAAGGGAGTGTTTCATCAAATATTTTTTTTCACAGTGGACAGGAATTTTGGTTCGTGGGTTAACGTGCTTTATAAAGAAAAGGAAACGTCATTTTTTTTTCGTTCTTTGAGAATAAATATATATAAATAGATGAAGACAAAGACTAAATATAGTACTTGACAAGCACTCTTAAGTGCATTCGAGAGGGACTCAGTACGAGCCCGTGTATTTATTCGTTTCAGAGGGCTTAAAGCACCTTCCCTACAAAAGTTACCATATCTAGACGCTTTAAAATATTTTTCGCAATATAAGGACTTCTTACTTGGCAAGCTGAAGCAATGTATCATTTTTGAGATCAAAATGGCTTTAAGCGAATTTCAAGATAGGTATTTAGGCATTGATAATCACAGTTCTATATCGCAATTATTAGAAATTATTATAAATGATAATAACAACGTAGACTGCAAAACAATAAGGCGCCAGACCGCGGAAAAGGAAATAAAGAATAATGACTTGGATTTTTGGGCAGAATTTTCTTTGTGGAAGTTTTCTTTTGAAATTTGAAAGTTTCGCTCCGGAAATCGCGTCTAAGCATTCAAAACGGAATGGCAAATAAAAAATGTCACGATCAGATTTTCGCACATCGACCGAAATTTAGCTGATTTCTCGACTAATTTAATAACTCTTTTTTTACCAATCTCATAGGTTATTCCCCCCAAACATTGAAAACTGAAATAAAGCAAAACAATAATACACCAGACATCACAATATTTCGTCGAGATTGGGAAAAGGTAAGTGTTTTGCCTTTTACGTCAATGGCGACATATTCAATAACACACATTAGTATTAATGAGCATTTGAAATTTATCGACAGAAGTTACTGAAGATAATTATCTTTGAAACAAACCAATCGGCCGAACGGACAGAGCATTTTCCATTGTGGAATCAATTACGTAGCCTCTATTTTTCCTATTTCAACCATTTTCTGATCGAAACAGAAAGTTCAGCTTGGACTTTGTGGTTCAATATCCACGTTTCCTTGGAAGGAAAACGCTTCTTTCGAGTATGTCATAATCATGGCCTAAAATAATGCTCTTTGCACATATCTGTCATTGCAACTTTAGAGTTTGATATTCCCTTCACAATTCGACCAAAGTAACTCCAAAAAGGGTAAAATAGTCGAGTGAAATTATCAAATTGCTTTGGCTAACAAAGAAATACTATTAACTGGCGAATTAATGGCGAGGTACCCTATCCTTAATTATTTTTGACAATATAATAGCTTTTCACAAGCATCTTTGACACATCGAAGGATAAATAGGCATATACATGTCAGAAAAAATGGTATAAATTTTTTAAAATCTCTCTGATATGAAAGAGGACGATTGGACATCCGTTTAAAAAACCGCCAATTCTATTGACAAGTTGAAAGGGAGACACTGTGGAGTAGAGCGTAAGAAACTCACCGAAGTATAAATATCAGTGTTTTACTTCAGAAGGAGCTTTATTACAATATTTTTAAAAGTAAGAGCTTTTAAAAGAACATGAATTATATTTAAAATCTAGTAGTCTTTAAAATTACCGTAAATTTGGTGAGTAATTGCTCATGAAAGTAGAGTATGGTAGAATAGAAACTTTGCCAAGTTAGGAGTACTTTTCAAAATTCAGACTGATGTTTTTTCCGTTGCTAGAGGAAGTCAAGGATGTCGTGTTCTTTTGCGGTTACTTAGATGCAATATCACAAAAGAATAGAAAGTGAAGTGTCTTACGTAAATCCTGGCCAAAATAGTCATAAATGTTGTGATTTGCTAATAAATAGTGCTCTCGAGGAAGCTAATATCAAACTTGTTGAAACAGGAGAACATACTTAAACGCCAAAGTGCAATATGAGCATTTCCTAGTAGAGGAACGTTGCCGAATCCGTCCAGAACATTTAGTTGCGATAAATTCAATCTTCGAAGGGAAGATTTCAACTTTTCACGCTCTGATTTACATTTCATGGTTACGCTTGGCTTGAGTTACTTTTAATATAGAGCCAACGAAGCTCATCAGATTTCGTGTATTGCTGCTGTGTTGTAATCTGTGGGAAAAAGCTCCGTGCCGGGTATGGATTCAAAAATTTTAGTCGCTGTTGAATTGCTAGTACTAGTTTGTCTGTTTTCGCTGGAGTCTGCTTCGTGTTCTACGAAAGGGTTTCAAATCACCAGAGATTCAAGAGACTCTTTTAAAATCCCGCCATCAAAATGTGACTCGACGAACCAAAGCTTTGATTATTGTGCCGAGTACAACGCAAAGAAAGACAGAGAGAAGACGCCATGCGATTGCGTGTGTGACGCAAGCTCATCAACGTTTGAATTTCGAAACAATGCCTGGTCTTGCCAGAAAAATAATGAGACGAGAGCGTCTTTTGGTTAGTATCATGTTCTTCTAATTGTAATATTGTCGTTCTAGAAAATTAAACAAGGAGTGAAGAAAAATGGCCTAAAGCACGTATACCTTACTCATGTTATTTTAGAGTTAATTTAAACAATTGGATCATAACATGGTTTTGTTCATCATGTACTAAAATGTGCTAAATGCCAACATTTCAATTGTCTATGAAATGATATTTTAATTACGTATCTGTGATCATCGTGCTTCATTCTTTGCCTTAATTTTTCGAGCCCCTTTTCCGCTAAATAATGCTGAAAAATGTTAAGAATTCATCACCTGTCATAACTGAATTTTTGTTTTTCCATCTATCAGTTCTTTGACGCAAACGTCCTCAGAACGCTTTCGGCGTAAATTCTTTAGAAAAGTGGGAAAGAGTGATTACAATTTTCAGGAAATTATATATCTTGGTCTTCACCTTGAGCACCAAGGAAGCCCCAAAAAACAAGTCATTCTTTTTCAACCATTAAGCTCCCGAACATTGCAATTTTATCAATTCTCTTTAGAAAAGCTATTTTGAAATTGTTGTTGTATGAAGTTACATTTACTTTCAGTTTTAATCGTAATAACTTATCAGTGGAGTTTGTTCTTTGAAAAACTGTTCTCTTAAAAATCGCCTTTTGAGCCTAATTAAACGCCTTGTAGAGTTGGTTTTTGCTATACCTTTTCCCTCTGACTCATGAAAGAGAAAAACAAATTTAAACGGAATAACCTTTTTTTTTTTTTTCTTTAAACAAAGGCTGCGGTATGTTTCTTGACGATGAGGACAATGCAACCAAACTGAATTCGCTGAGAGATGGTAGCGAAAAAGGACTGAAGTGGAGGGCAGGGCCTTGCACCATAAATATCCAAGATTCTTTATACATCAAGTGCTTCGGAAAAGGGGACTCTGTGGCAACCGCTACGTCAGCACAAATTCAAATTGAAGAAGGTTCTAAACCTGTTGTGAACGAACTTGAGGTAACAACAATTTATGTACTTTAACTGTGTAATTTGATTTTAAAAACATTCTTAAAATGTCTTCTTGGGTAAATGATCCAGCAAATATCCTTGTTTTTGTTTTCAATTAGCTTGAATACCCGTCAAGAAACGATGTCGTTGGAGGCATTGTGAAACTTACATTAGAGTGCAAAGGACCTGGTCCCTCAACCACTGTCGGTTGCCTGCTAGTCAAATTGCAAGGAAGCACATCATGTGAGTTGCTCATATCTAAATGTTATAATAGATACCTTCTTGGTGCTTTATTTCGCGGGTTTTCAATTTGTTAAAAAAATCGCAAAATTAAAGACCCATGAATAACAATCCTCGCGAAATTTAATCTCCAATTGAAAATTCAGATCACAGAACGAAATGATCAACATGTAATAACAACACAAGATATGTTTCGACAAGTACACAAATTATCAACTGGTCTTATTGCTAAGTTCCGTTTCGGATCATGCAACTTTGCAAGAGTTTGTATATGGAGTAGAAAATCTCTTAATCGAATTTATCTGAACTCGTACAGATTCCGCAGGATTTCTTCGTTGGAGTTGTCTAAAATTAATACATTAAAAACTATAATGAAGCCCAGAACGCTTGAATCGCGAAATTTAATGCCCCTTTAGCTATTAGCCTAATGAAATCGCGAAAATCAATCCTCGTGAAACTAAGTATCCACGAAATTAATTACCAATTAGGTACTACAAACGATTCCTTAGACAATTAGTTTCAATGACCTTGAATTGATCCGGGGGGTAAATGAATGGGGCGCATGAATCATTTGGAAAATTTATTTGCACTAACACGGAAAAAATCCAGAGCTTCAAGATTCAAGGCGTTTCTAGTTACACGGTACTAGTTTTCCCACTTGTTTTCATTAGGTGAAATAATGACGCGATAAACTGAAAGCACGCCGATAATGGAAACCATCAGACCTCCGTGAACTAGAATAGGTTTACAGTAAAGCCGATTTTCCCGGAGTCGTCACGAATCCAGGTTATTTTGAACTGATATCGGACTCATTTTTCTGGTTGAATACTTGCGGATAAATCCATGATAAAATTAATCGTTTAGGAACATAAGATTACTTTTCGAATTTTATGATATGTTTGCTCAAAGGATCAGCTCAGCTTACGGAATAACTTTTACCTTCGTCTTCGAAAAATAATTTGTTTTCTGGTTTTTCAGTGACAAATTACGTATTTTGTTGACGAAAGCTTGGTCCAATATTTTATTACCGTATTTACTCGAATGAACTCCGCGGCGCTGAAAAAGAATTTCGATTTTAAACTTGTCAGAGGGGTCCTTTGTATTTTTTCTGCTTCTTAGTTTTGTTCAAGCACAACAAGACTTTAAAAGGTAAAAAAACAATGCAACTTTTTCAAAATGCACATAACACTGAACAATAATAAAAGAGATAAACAACGCTAAAATAGAACAAAAAAAATCTAGTAATCAGTTCGGAAAAGAGGATCATTAGCCACCGCGTTGTTAATTACGCACGAAACTTGATAATTCCGATAAAAAGCTGCACTCTTGTAATATCAGTTATTCCAGTGCGGCGCTCTTAAAGTAAATACGGTATTTATAAATCAATTGAGTATTGTATAGATCGAAAGAAACGCACGACAAATATCTTACCTTAGTAACTGACCGAAAACTTTCGAGTTCTTGACAAGATATCTTGCATTCATGAACGTGTGGGCTGTGTCAGTGCAGCTGCAATACGATGTACGTGTTGACATCTCTGTCTCCACAACACTGCACAAGCTAGACAAACCTTCCTCCATGTTGTCATGAGCAACTGTGATAGACTTCTTTAGCTGCGCATAGTTTAAAAAAGATGAAGCTTGGAATTCCTTTGAGACTTGACATAAGTAAATAAAACATGTAAGCTAAAGAAGTTTATAGCAAACTTCAAACGGTCAAGATAAATCCACCTTTTTCTCACATTTCCAATGATAAAAATTGGTAAAATCTCTGTTGTTAATAACGCCCGCAAACAATCAGTATGACCACTTCAGTGAATAAACGGCTGAAATAAGACAGAAATAAGTGTAATTTTTGCTTTTTTCTGCTCAAATTCAAGCTCTCTTAACATTATTTCTGGCATATCAAACAGAATTGGCGAAGGCAAAAATGCATTTTACCTATAGGAGCTAAAGGACGACTTAAATATCTTAACGTGATACACTCACGAGGTCGGTTATTTGCATGCACGAGGTCTAACCCAAACCACGCTTTTACGTTAGCAGCGGACTTCAGGCTTTTTACATAAGGCGGTTCATTTAATTTAACGACTGTCCTTCCACTTTTAGCTTTCGGCCCTTTTGAAACTGTTCACAAAAATAAGTGTTCAGATAAATGGTCCAGTTAAATCAGTGAGGATTGTTTACGACACGTTTGGTTAAACAATGGCTAAAGTATATTTAATTAACCGACCCATGATGTTTGCATCCTTTCGTCCTCACGAAAAGGTCCATCATATTCATTAAACATTTCTATCTCAGGTCCCGTGGCAGGAACACCGGAGACGACTACTTTACCCACAGCAGTCGAGACACTTTCTAAAGAGGTAGTTCCATCAGTTGCTACATCACAGGCTCAGGTATTTCCTGCAAAAGAGTGGGAAATTATTTTTAAGTCAAGCAATTTCTTCTCAAACCCTGACAAAGCAGCGTTAAAAACTTGTCGTAGAATATTGGTTTTTGCTTTTCTCCACTTAATTGCCATCGTACAAAAGCACAAACCAATTTGCGGGAATCGCACGTGCCTAATTCATATGCTGCATACTTTCCGTTTGAAAACTTCGAAGACCATGAGAGAGAAACGGGATGCTGCGTAATGAAAGTGGGAAATTATTAGGAATTGTTATGGATGTTGTTACCATCCGTTTCATCGTGTTGCTATTACGAGAGACTGACTTCAATTAAAAAAAATTTGACGCAAACTTCGTCGCGGACAAAGTCGAGAAAAATGAAACTTCTCAGAATATGTATTGTCGCCAAAGATTAAGAGGAAAAATACCCGTATGTAGCACCACAATTAGAAACCAGAAGATTGACATTAGTTTCGTTTTTATCAACAAAAAGTGTCATAAACTGAATTGCTTTGTTCCTAAGCGTTTGAGGCTCAGTCCCACATCACGAGAGCGCCATTTGAATTTCCCCTTATACAGGGATGGGCTGTACTCAAAACTTCTTGAAACAGTCTCTTTGTGTGACACTTATTGTTAATAAGAACTGAGCTAATTTCGTTGTAAAACTTATTCTAGTATATAATCTATCAAAAAAATCCCCAAACCATGTCGTTCTTTTATTTTTTTGTTCATCAATATTGAATCTTTAATTGCGCTGATTTTACGAAATGCTTTCTCGTCTCCAGATCTTTTCACCCCCAGATTCCTCCGCTGGTAAACAGACTAAACGCCTGGACGATTTATCCGTTTTTCTTATCGTCGGACTGACTATCTCACTCAGTCTCCTTTTTGTAATCGTTGGAACGTTCGTTTATCGACGTAATTGTGCACGGTGAGTCATCCTTTTTCTGGTTACAGTAATACATAGAAGGTTTCCACACAAATTACGTAAAACTAGATTTAAAATACAGCCCAAAAAATGGAGCTACGATTTGTACAAATACATTGAAAGAAGTCAAAGATTTTAATTGGAAAAAGTTGACTAAGAGAGACTGAATATATCTCACATGTAATTTTTTCGTGAACTTTTCTTAAAGAAATCACCTTTATTGGGACACTGACGAGCACAGCTCCCATTCAAACCCAGACTCTGAGCGTGGTGAAAAGGATGCAAGCTATGCTTCATTGAGCCATTGTACAACCAGTAAGTATGAACTGCTGGATATAATCGAGAATATTTACGTTTTATTTTGATCGATCCACGATCTTGCTACAACGTGGGAGGGGAGAGTGGTTAGTGTTGTAAGCGCACGTAACTGTCTGATCGCAATTTCAAGAGGCTGATTGATCCCAGGGCTACAATTTAGACAGTAAAATTTTAATCTTAAAGATTGTTTTTTTTAAAAATAAAGGATAGCATTCTCTAGTTAATCGCGAAGTTGCGCACGATAATGATTGGCTTAAGTGCTCTTATCGTGCAGGGTAAATAAACCTAAAAAATTATTTAAATTAGATTCGTCGAGCCATATTTCCCACGCTTTCTAGCATTAAATCTGCATAATCATCACTCGGTATTAAGGAACGCTGCAAGTCTGGGTAATTCAGGTATCCAGGGTCGTTTTTTCTCAGGTATTCGGTATTACTCATTATAATACGTGTATAAATTATCACATTCTTCGTCAATATTGGGTGTGTAGATATGAGTCAACAGCGCAGGGAAATTCTAGGTTCGAGGCAATTCTGCATTTTTTAGGTCTATTCGTACAGAAAAATAGGGTATACCAATATCCTTTAAATCCCACGGACCTGCAGTATGTTCTGTTTCAGAATTTTTTTTCCTATTTGCATCAGAGAGCAAATATATGCAAAAGAGCGCTGAAAAATTAAAGTTTTCAATTACTTTTTTTTTTTTTAGCTACCTATGCCTCAGCCTATAACATTCCCAGTACCATGGGCGGAATAAATACGCTTGATGGAGAAGAACCAATTTATAGCACTGTGGATGAGTACCAAGACCCAGCCATAACAGAGAGCCCCAGAAAGGTGAGGCCTCTAAGTGTCGAGCAACGCGTGTATAACCTAGTCGAGGTCCTTGATACAACCACGCCTGACGGGTCGTATGAATATTGTTCCAATGAAGTGAGTCAAGCACAGTCTCCGCTTAGCGTGGAACAGCGTGTGTACAACGTCATTGAAGGCCTTGATGTGAACACCTCGGACGGCCCTCACGGAGATGTTGCCCAGGAAGGGGCTCAAGAGAGCCAGGTACCCTTGAGTGTGGAGCAACGTGTGTACAACCTCGTGGAGCCTCTTGATAACACAAACACATTAGACGGCCCCAATGAAGAAGGAAGCGCAATGCAGCCTCCCATAAGCGTGGAACAACGACTTTATAACACCATAGAGCCCCTGGATACAGTGACCTGCCAACAAGGCGACAATTGTGATCCTAAAAGCAAAGAAATTGGCAAGTATCCATTTTACAACATTTTGGAGGAACCTTTACCAAGTGACATCGAACAAGGAGAAAGAAATAGGTCTAGCAGTGTAAAGGAACATGTTTATAATGTCCCTGAGGAACTCAAAGTAGAAGGAACTAAGGAACCAAGTGATGCTAGCGCTTCACTGGACTCTTCTCGGGATTATGACGAACCGATAGAGCTTTAGAAAGACTGAAAAGAAGTAGTAGTAGTGTCCGGGAAATGGAAGTGCTCTTGCTCACCTGAGTGAGTGAGCCGGCCTGCTTCCTTAAAAAAAAAAGTAAAGAAAGAGGGAGTAACCTTTTCTATTCACTCAAGCGCTGATGGTGGATTACACCTATCGCCAATGTCTAGTTGTTTATTTCCCAAATAATCTCCTGTTTGATGGGACAGCAAAACAAAACAACGAGAGCAAGAGAAACGGAGGGGAGGTGCAGTGGCTTGAAGAAACGTGGGGCTAAAGGCTTTCATCCACACCCCTCCCACCTTAGTTCGGTCGTCATTTCATCTTTTTTTTTTCACTAGTATAATGGTGCTTATATCTATTCTAACTTCAAGGAGTGCAGCTGCTAATCGATAATTATTTAAATTGCTTATCACTTACATTTGGCGTCTAATAAATTACTTAATAGAGGGAAGGCAGCCCGCAAACTTTCCCTTTTTTTTTGTTGGCAAGGAACCAAGAACTGAAAAAAAAAACAAAACAAAACAAAAAAAAAACAACACGATTTTAATGTAGTTTAACCATGGCGTTCTTCTAGATCTATCATGGGACACTGCTCTTAAGCTTAACAAAAACCCAAGGCTATACTAATGAAAGGACCAACCAGAGTAAGGCCTGGATATAACTCCTAACGAAAGATAAAAATAAAAAAGATAATGAAAGAAAGCTTTGCTTGCATATGAAAATGTTTTGTAAATTATAATTATACATGGAAAATCATGGATATGATATTTAAATGTAAATAATTTGAATAGAAATACAGAGTCAGTGTTACATAAAATAATAAAACTGTTAGTAATACACTTTTTTCGTTTCTTTGTCTTAAGAGCTAGAAAATTAAGGTCATGCCGGAATGTTAAAGTCGTGCCGGAATGTTAAAGTCGTGCTGGAATGTTGAAGTCGTGCCAGAAAGTTTAGGTCGCGCCGGAATGTTTAATTAAGTCGTGCCGGATAGTTGAAGTCAGTCGTGCCGGAAATTTAAATTAAGTCGTGCCGGGAAAAAACTGAGGCGGGAAAAATAAAGCTGAGCAAGTGAAAAAAAAGTTGATGACAAACACTCGATGGCACTAACTGGGTTGCGTACAACATACCGACGTGCACATCTTTACGCAGACGCACAAAAGAATAATATATAACGTTGCTTTAGTCAAGGTTAAAATTTCCATGCAACCACCTCCTTCGCACAAGGGCGCGTGAAGCTTTAGAAAATTTTAAGGAATTCGTTTACTAGCCAAAAAACAATAAAAATTAATCCATTATTATTTTATTTTAAACCCTACTTCTGCAAAGGAACCTGCACAGATGTTTATAGGCGACGGTGCGACGGTACAATGTTGTGGAGGCTTTTGGTTTGGATCATCGAACGCACAGCATAAAACATGTCGGGCATTATAATAAGTCTGATGATTTTTTCACAAACTGTTTTATTAGGAATGCTCTTGGTGAAGTAGAGTGAAGTAGTATGTGGTTGGATCTCTTTTGGACAGCTACTTACCTATGCATTTTCACAAATTGCTGGCGGATAACTGGGCACTTTTGAGATTTCAAAGAGCCCTTTGCGAATGAATCGCACGCCAAAGTCGACATGCATCAAGGATTGTAAATGTTTTCGAGTAGGCTTGAGATAATAACCAAAAGTATTCAAGATTCAAAAAGCGATCGATGAAATTATGGAGGAGAGCTACCTGTACATCATGAAACTTAACTTACCTTTAGCTCCACTGAACTTAAGAATCCCTCTATTGATACGTGCTGATGAAGTCGCAACAATGGCTGAGGCTCAATGTTACTATTAACGATAAGTACACTACTCCTAGATTTTCAAGGCATAAATACAACGAATTAGAAGGTGCACAGGGCGGCCGCTGAAGACATCCCAATTTGAATTTCTGCAAACTAGCGGGAAGGATGGTAAGGGATAGTGTATTGGCAGCAAAAAAATCAGAGTAAATAAGGCAACGACGGAAGGTTTGGGCCTGCCCTCATCTATGGAGTGTAAACGAATGCAGGTAATTTTGCGGTAATTAACCCTGAGATTTCAGGAGTTGTTGCATGCAGCCAAAAATGATCAAAATCAGTTCCGCCAGGAGCAGCCCTGTGCACGTGAAGAATTCGGCTGTCTTCCTACGAAAAACAGACTCAAGGGTAGGAATTCGCTCAAATTCAACGGCTGACTCAGCTACCTACATCTAGGTGGATCCTTTCCATGCATCTGAAGCTCGTCAAGCCGATGAGCTTCGATTAAGTTAATCAGATTCATCTACGATCAAGATCTCCTTCACAGCTAAGTGAAACTTCGACTAAAGCCTATTGTTCTTTATGGATCGTGATTGCTATTTCTGATGAGGAAAATCTTATTTGCGGCATTATCTTCAGGCTGCAAACTTTAGCGGGCTTTAAGATTATGTTGATGAAACTATTCAAAGATATGTTTCCTTTGGGAAACGTATCATAGTGATGGGTGCCTTTAACCTTATAACTTAGTGCTATGACCACAGTTGATAACGTCAATTGGCCACCGTAAAGAGTTTAAAAGCTGACTTTTAAGGAAGTTAACCCTTCGTCAGAGGGATCGCCTTCAACCTTGGTCGTCTTCTATGCATGAAACACTAAAGCCGTGACTTTTCACCTACAGTTTCCATAGTTGTTACCCTCTTCCCACAGTTTAAAGCAATTAAAACGACCTCTTATTCCCTTATTGATAATATTTTCTTTAATAATCGTATAATAACAAATTTATAAATTGACATCTTTAATTTCTGATATTTCTACAAAGATTATCCATCGTATCCGATGTTCACAGTGAGATAATAGTCGAAACACTTTCACCTTATTTTACATCTCTTTAACATATCTTTATTAAAGATTTGAAGCATGCTGAGCATTAAGTTCACCAGCAAGCTCTCTTGTGAGCAGCAAGGTCAGCTTGAACCTTCAGTATCTGTGGGACTACGGGCAGCAGAAAGCAGCCTGCGTTGGTTCAGTGTTCCTTTTCGTACTTAGTCTCTTTTCCTCTACTGCAACTGATACTAGCCATCTTTGATCGCATTTTTGCTTTTTGAAATCAGTGAATAGCAAAGTTCATTAAAAAAAATCAAACCGCAAGACTTCTTGAGATTTAATGTGGAACATTCTCGACACAACTCAGTTTCTCAAGTGTTTAGTGGAATTCCCTTGTGAGCAACAAATCTAATGACTCCAATCATTTTTTGTCTTCCTTCTTCGTCGTCAAGGTTAATAAGATGATAAATACACCTGCTCCCATGAAAATACTGTCAAATCTCAGTCATAATTCCTCTCCAAAGAGTGGATATCTCACTGAGGTGTTCATCAGGTTAAATAAATTGTTATTCGCTTATGGAAACATGGTCAAATACAAGGTCTAAAGAAAGGAGTAAAATATCCACCTTAAGAGGAAATGTCACGTTATGAGTTTGCGCACTAAGTTCTTCCTGTTTGTCACTTATAGGTGTCAAATCAATATCGTTCTCCACTGTAATTGACAAAAAGGAGAGCGCGTGGTTGTAAAAACCGACAATCTTGTTTTGGTCACGTAGTGTTGTGTTTGAGGCGGGCTATTACTTAAAACTCAATATATAGGCACCGTTGTCTCTGATCGTTTCAGGAGACTTCAGTAAATGGTTGGACTTTTCGTCTCGACGAAAAAGAAATCTGAAGCTTATATTCTGCTTTTTTAAAGCACCGAATAAGATTGAAAAATAATTTCGTGCGTGTCACTGGTAAATCGACAGAACATAATCAGAACGTAATCACTTCCGCAGCTTTCCATGCAAGACATCCTCAGGATAGGTTAGCCAATATCCTCAATCAGCAATTTGCTTCTTTTGAGCCAACTTGCCGAGTCCAAAACAAAACTATTATTTTCTTCATTGGTCTTAGTTGCCAGTTACTCGTGAAGAGGTAGCTCTGGGAATATCTGACTGTGTGCCCACAAACAAATGACACGAGTTAAATTCATGCCCTGCCCAGTTATTAAAATGATTGTCAAATACATCTAGCAGTGGTTGAGCAAAAGTGATAAATTGGTCGGTCTCATCTGGTATTTACCCTTCATAGTGGAATATGGGAAATATTATTCTAACTTTCAAGGCAGATGACTCACCTACATTTATAACTCCTCAGTCGTTCTCGAGTTCTGAAATGATTTTCAAGATACTGATTTACAAAAGAAAGCAGTTATTCATCGAACAAACTAAGTTGCTTTCTACATCGCAATATGGTTTTTGCAAAGTGCATTCTACTCCGCATGTAATTCTCGATGTTGTAAATGTTTGTAATGAAGTATTCACTAAGTCTAGTCAGTTAGTTATATTCAGTTAGTTGGTCGGTTCAATTTGATATCGTCTTTCGTCTATATTTAGAACGTACATCCACATCCAAAGTGACCACATCGCGAGACAAATGATTACATTTCTCTTTTGGATATGTTATTTAACACCGTGACTAATAAAAACCTACTTGATGATAACTAGAATGTAGTTATTATATGAATTCATAGTCCGAAGTTATTTCAGTAGTGTTCTAACAACAAATGTTTAATCTCCCGAAGTCAGTCGACCGACATGCTCATATCTATCAATAGTGATTATAGAGTATACTAGAAAAATGTGGATAGTGTGCAGAAGAGTAAAGAAAGAATTTCGTGGTTTAAACGAGCGTTTAGCATCTTAACTAAGAAGTATCCAGTGAGAATCAAAGTGTGAGAGCCCAAGAGATTAGCCTGAGTTACACAGAATGAAGAGGACTTGGATGTAAGTAGAATTGTGTACTGGAAAAATGGAATAATTAGATTAAGCAGAAAAAGGCAGTTCGAGACTCCTTGGTGCCTTTCGATTGGCGTTCATGGTGCAGTCCACAGCAAGTTCCTCCGACGCTTGATAGCGTAACATGTTAAACATAATAATACAGTCAAACGCCTCTTTTCCCGTAACAATTTTACTGATCTTAACAATTCGTTTAAAAAAGTTGGTAATAAAATTTTATTTTCATATATGGTCATGATATCACTATAGTTTTCACAAAGTCACATACATTTGGCTCTCGTCTTATCCTACAGGCCAAATGCAGACGATAATACTAGGTCTGCATAAATCTGGAAGGACTTTTACAATCTGTAGCACATGTCAGTTTAAGGCTCTGTATTTGGCCTTTTGCTCTTTCTGATATATATTTGGACAATTTCAGTTCTTTCTTGATCGCTGTTGATTCTAGTATACAATGTGATGATAAAATTCTTAGCTGTCGGGAAAAAGTTGCTGTGAACCAGGAGCTCTGCATGTGGTGCTGAGTCGATAAGGGCTATTACAAGATAATTTGATTTTATCAGCTGAGTTGATAATGTAAATTGGCCACCGTTTTGAGTTTCAACGCTGGCGTTTCGAGCATTGGCACTTCGTCATTCGTCGTGTCAGAGCAAGCCCACAAAGCCTTGGTACGAAGTCACGTTTATTGATGGCGATCCCCCTGAAACAAAAAACGGGAACTTACGTATTCTCGTTTAAGAAAAGCCAAAACATGCAACTCTTTACTTTTACAATGTCACGAACTCTTACCAATTTTACGTTTTTTACTCTCCTTTACAGCGGAGCGAAATGGCGAGGTCATTGTGTACAGAGAAAGTTATGTCTTGATTCAGAAACTGAAGAAAATAGATGGATTGTGAAACTCTTTTATGATCTAACCTACCTGTTTTATCCTTCCAAAAAGAAAATGCCGCCATTTCGTCGTTGATCACGTGCTGATCATGCCTCAACTCATACTTGGTATTGATGCACGCTTCAATACGACATGAAATGCATAAGGGCGATCTTTTTAATGCATTTTTCTGATGATGTCTTCCCAAGGCATTAATTAAATATCAGCCTAAACTACAAATGGACAGAGGGGGTAAGCTTCTTACGAAACTGTGAACCACGTCGATGAGGGGTATTACAAGATAATTTGGTTAAATCAACTGAATTCGTAATCTAAATTAGCCACAGTACAGAGTTTCTAAAGCTGACGTTTCGAGCGTTAGCCCATCTACAGCCTTACTTAGTTTTTCTTTAGTATGTTCATGGCCTATTTGCTCTCAATTAGAATCTTGCTTCTAAATTTTTACAACTCAGCTTATCGAGTTACATTTACCCTATGGTTAACCCTATGGTGGTTTTCATTTGCCATCACTTAATCATTACATAGTTATCGATATTGTTCGAATAGTTTTCAATTGAGGGTGAGAATTAATTCGAAATTCCATGTTTATCGTGATATACCTTTGGGAGTCAGGCCTATTTGCGTCCAATAAGAATCTTGCTTCTAAATTTTTACAAATCAGCTTATCGAGTTTCATTTACCCGATGGTTATATATAAAGATATCAACAAGAATTGCGTGCGGATAACCACCGATAACATTCAACAGGAAAAATTAGGACACGTTTTTGTCTAATTTCTTGCATCCTGCACTTTAAATTGACGTTGCCGTTTTGCAGGAAGGAAGGAAGTTATTACTCGAAATCACGTGTAGCATCGATGCACACTACACCACCAAATCATGTGTACATATACGAGGGAGATCTGCTGTAAGCGTCTCCACAATGAAAAATTCAATTTACTTCGAAATACTGTAATATTCTTAAAATGTCTTTCGAAAGGGGTTAATTAAAATTTTGTTCGTTTACTAATCATCATCTCTCAATTTTAAACCAGAAAGGTGATTTCAATCATTTTGTTATTCTTACCATGGAAAAGCCTCCAATTTGTTGTTGAGCGTGCGTTCTAATCATGCTCAGTAGTCATGTGTAGTATCTGCTAAGAGCATTTTTACACTGTAAATTCAGTTTACGTCAGGATGTTGGGGTAGTCTTTGAATTTCTGGTCCTTCCAAGAAGTGAATAAAATATCGGGTCAAGCTACTTTGGCCATTTACTGTTCTTCAATTATTTTTTGCCTGAATAGAACTCTTGTTTACTGGTTTTCAATGTTGCGTCTTATTTCACAATTCCTACAACTCAGGCTCTCCAATAACATTAATCCTGCTTATAATGGCTGTAATATATTGTTAACCAATAACATAATGTTGTCGATATTACTTTCACTCAGTTTTTTATTTGAGTGTGGGAATCAATTGGAAATATAGCTTTAACTTCCTTTAATGCGCTACATAATTGGTTTGTTAGAGCCATTACAAACTCGAATCACTTTATACTACCTATCAGACGAAAAGCCAACACTACTTACGCCTGGCGGCTTCTCAGTTTTTCTTCTCTCACGAACATGTTTGTACTATGCTGTCGTTATCACTGCCGATCTTTCGTTACTCGTGTTTATCCTGAAGTACCGGTTGCTTGCCATTTCGTACGCCGCCGGATAAAAATTGCTTCTACCAACAAAAACTGTGTTCAGGTAACCATTAGCAACGTTCTGCAGGAATGAAGCAAAAACAAGGTTTTACCAATGTCTCTTTAGGAAAAAGGAGAAGTAAAAACGATAAATCATCATACTTTTTGGTGATTTGCCTCACCGAGGTTTTCTATCATGAAAAAGCTTCTAATTTTTTGATGAGTGCGTTCTGATCATGCTCGCAGTCACGTGAAGCACGTATTGATATATACACTTAAGAACTATGTCCTAGACATGTATTTAATGGCGAGCTGCTAAAAGCATTTCTACACTGAAAAATTCAATTTACACACTGTGCTACTCTTCAAAAGGGTTTTACAGATATGAGACTCAAACTTATTTGTTTTCCATGCGGGTCCAACCTAGCCTTACGAGTTACTTTAATCCTGTATGTGATGGTTGTCATTTATCGCTATTAATGATATAAAGTTATCGATATTGTTTGCATACAGTTTTCAATTGACTGTGGGAATTAAATCGGGCCAGCTTTGACTCGCTTTAGACGCTTCATATTTGGTTTATTTTAGTCATTAGCATAGCCAAACTTTATTATCCAAATTACTTTATATAGAGCCAACACAACTCATGGATGGCGGCTTCTTTTTCTTCTTCATTTAGAGTCGCTCACGAACATGTCTGCTTTTAAATTTCGTGGCCATTCTCTTCTTGCTCGTGGTTATCGTGATAAACCATTACGATTGCTCTGTTTTTTGCATTTTGCTGGATATAAAATTGTTCTTATCAAAGAGGATTCCGTGAAGATAACGAAGGAGATAAAGAAGGAGATCATTAAGAAAAAAAGAAAAATAAAGCAGACGAGTAACCCGTAACCTGAGCCTAATATTTCGCAAAGTACCGTTGTTTGAAGAAACGGAAACGCCAAGGATTTTTGCATTAATTTACGCCTTTCATCGCCCGCGTTATCGTATTTAGCTTTCTTTTTTCAGCGCGCAAAACAAATTTGAAATTTTTGGCCCCATCTCGAATGTGATTGGTTCGCCTATTTTTGAAACTCCTCAAACTTTGACGTCACACTATTGGAAGCAAGATTCCATTATTTGGAGCACGCGCTTTTCTTCCACGCTTGTTTTTTAGGTCTTTTTAGCAAACGCATCTCTCGGTTTTTATTTACCGTTTTAGAACAAATTTGCAGCAGGGTGCCACGAAAACAACATTTGTATCTGTGGCCGCAGGTATTATGTGGTCAATCATTTTTCCTAAGAGTGTTTTCACTTTTATAAAGATAAAAGCGAAGAGATATCAATGGAAATATTGGCCGCCATATTCTGTCATAGAGTTGTCAATATAACGAAAACACTTGGTAGTACAAGAGCTTGAAGTACTATTTACCGAAAATGGTAATCGGAGTTTGTGTTTACAACCTGTATTAGCTGGTCACCAAGCGGATGTGGTCACTATGTTATTCTATGATAATGTGTATAATGCCGTAAACGCAACTCGTTAATTCTCGAAGCGGCACGAGCGACATAAATAATACGACGTAATTGTTTCAGAGCCCGCTCCTCACATAGTCTTGTGAAAATCTCCTCCTCGTCCTTTAGGTAATAGCAAAAGCTAAGACTGGTTTACTCTCTATCAGAGAGAATAGCATGTTGCGCAAAATGGAAATATTTTGGACCGAATTGATCATAACGACTTTGATTTCTTTGAGCGTAACTGCGATATCAGAAGAGTTTAAGATTTTCAGGATACGTCCGGATGGAGAAGATGGGTGGTTAGACGGTAGAGATGGGTTTATCATTCCTTCATCGCAGTGTCAAAGTGGACACATGACAAATTGTCGTCAATTCCGCGCCGATTTAAAGACGCCTATTGTCGATCGATGCGCTTGTGTATGCCCACGTGATAGAGCGACGTTTTTATTCCATAATGGTAAATGGGAATGCTTGGACAACAGTCAAGTCCGAAGATTGTTTGGTGAGTAATCTTTCCGCAAGATCAGTTCGTTAATTAAGCAATTAATTCGACTACCGTGCCGAAAAGCTCCCTAACGCAGCACAAATTCGATCATCCGTTTATGAGAACCAAAAGTTAATGACCCGACGGTGTAATAGTTTTTTTTATTAATTTTTCTCATTAAGGTCATTTTTTAGATGATCTTTTCGTTGTTTCCACCAGCAATCATCAGTTTTCGGTTCTGTTACCCCCTTTGGTTTTTGCTTTTCCCGTTTCGGATATTCATTTTTCAGTGTTATAACCGAGACTTAAAAATAATTTTTTTTTAGATTTTTGTTATTCGCTTGTCAATTCACATGCCTCCTCATTTTGATCCCAACCTTTGGCGGTTTTTTTTCTCTTGAGCCCTCGTTTTCCGGTTCTATTCGATTGAAATTCACGTTCAGCTAAACGGCTTTTGAAAGGTTCCAACCTTCCTCTCTTTAAAGATGTATTACTGACGTACAATTAAAAAATTTCTTTTTATGATTTCTGCATCCATTTGCCACGCTAAATGAAGGTAAAAATATTTTGCAGCACATCAATATCTTCTTTGGTAAGGGCAGTGATCAGTGAAAAGCAAAATCTACTGGCGGATTTCCTTGAGTACGCCCGAGTGTCATAAAACTCTTTAATCTTTGATATTGCCAAATAGTGTAATTTATTAAATTATTATATTACAGAAATTAGTTAATTGTAAGAACTTTGATAAGATTTTAAAATTCAAGCTAGAAGTTGGCAACATCATCGCCAAAGGAGAATCATTTCAACTCTTAAATGACAAGGAATTCAAGAAAGAGGAGACATTCATGTCACTGAGCTCAACATTGCTAGAACATTATAATTGATTCGAGATGGACCCTCAAAAATCAGTAATAAATATTAGAGGATTATAAAAATTTCCCTTTAAAAAGTTAAATTTGAAAGGGCATTGAAAGGCAATAAATGAAATTACATAAAAAATATTGGTCATAAAAATCCCAACAATTTCAGTTTCAAATGAAGATAGATTTCCTTCTTAAAAGGTTCTAAGCAAAGTCATGCTATTATGAATTCTACGGATATTCCCGGTCGAGTCAATCCTTAAGAATAAACCCTTGAATTTTCGTCTCCTAATAACTCGAACCAAGCTCCCAACTCAACTTACGATTTCCCTTGTACAGCCGCCGTACTTTATACCAAAATTTTGCGAGGGCAACCCGAGCTCTGGGGAAATCAAACCTCGTGGTTACTCAAACCGATGTCTACCTCTGGATTTCCGTCAAACATTACTGTAATTTTACCGTCGCTTACTTCGCGTGACCCTATCGCGGATTCAAGGAAAGCAAAATTCTTTTCCCCTTAGCTCATATCTGAACAATTTTACAACCAATAACTCAGTCGAACTATTTTTTGTCAATTTGTCAGAAGTCAGAAAAAGTTGAACTCTACTTTTCATTATCTAAATTCTTTTAGGAAGCACCGTGTACTTTTTTCGCCTTTTTTTGCAATTAACCTCACACAACATAAACCACTGATCATCTCCATATTTTACAAACATCCTTCGTGAACCCGACCTTCAAGGTTTACTGTCGTGATGCATCACCGAGGTCATCCAATACATTCCACTTGAGCTCGAGAGAGATTCAGAGATTGTAACTGCTTAGTAGTTCTAGAATTTCCGGCATTTCTGACTATAAGGTGCTAAGATTGATCGTATAATCACTGCATATCTTATGTAATGTAAATGAAGAAAATTAACCAAATTGTGAAGGAAATCTACGATATCAATTTATTTCCAGTAAAAATTGGAATTTTTCTTAGTGAATCATAATGTCAAAACTTGGTAGAGGATCGCACAATTTTAAAAAATCAGTTTGTATCTATTTTTAAAGTAAAAATCATGACGTTTAAACATGGCTGTAATTCTAAACAAGTGAGATGAGGTTAAAAGCAAAATTGTCGGCAGAAACTAAATTTAAAACGCAAAAATTAGATATCCATGAGCATCCATAGAGAAGTGAAATACAAGGCGCAGCAACATTCTTTTTACTAAAACAGCCTCAGTAAGACTTAACTAAATCAGAAAACCAACACTGAATTTTTGACCTTTGTCAATGAGTGTCGCTCATTGACAACATGCACTGAGGTTTAAAGCTGCAGTGTAGAAAACCGTACACATACAAAATGTTTCCTTGAAAGACAATGGCTCATTAATGACACACTGGCCACATATGGTAATTGCACGTGGTGCTCTCAAGTTGTTTGGAAATGCTTGTTTCCCAGTGGCAAATGTAGGTGAAAATTTTTAAATCCAGTTACAGAGGCATTTAATTCCAGAGATACGCTTGTAAGGCTTGATTATACCATTTCTTACAGAACTGTTGTAATGCAGAGTTAGAGAATGGTGGCCCCCTGAATGGCATTGAAAACCCAGCCTAACTCAGTTTTCCTTTCTGAACATGACGTGGCAAGTGCCACTTAATGAAAACTAAGTTTTCGGTTGGACTGGGACTTGTCTCGTGTTGATAAACGCTGGAGGAAAGCTGAGTACCTCACATATTATATAAATGTGATGGATTTAGTTCAACTCTGTGTTGCAGGATGCCGGGAATGAGGGGATCTTATGGCCACCTCTTTGTTTTAGATGACGTATTTGATTAACACAAAGAAACGGCACTAAACATATTACAGAGGCCCCTGGCAAAGAATCCTAATTCTCAATTTCATTCACGCCTGAGTTCAAGGAATCGATAAAGTATTATTTTTTTATTTAAAAGGATTTCGCAAGCCCCCGTTCGTCACTTTCGACGGAGAACCAGCTACCAGTCCGTTAGGGATGGTTAACGACACCGACAGTAGAAGATTGAGTTTGTCAAATGTGCAGAACTGCAAAGTAGACTCTGCAAATTCCTGGTCTCTTGGATGCTACGGTCCTGCAGCACAATTTAGAAACAAGCCCCCGTTTACAGTCGAACATGGATCGGATGTTACTGATTTTCCATTCTTTCTTTCGGTGAGACTAAAAAAAATCTTTCATATGTTGAGATAGGTCTTGGTATCCTAAAGAAAGCACTTAAGTACGAGTTATCTTCCGAACCAAACGCCTAACTCTACCTTTAGACCAAAACTGATCAATCGAAAATTGACAAAGGATAGTTGCTTCTTGAATTCAACAGCCAAGATCATCAAAGTGAAACTAACCAATCAGTTTCCATGAATCAGATTGACAACATTCCAATTAAGACACAGGTTTTCCTTTGTTTCGGAGGATGACTTTCGCTAAGGTTGTCGAGACAAAAGTATTTTTCTGTTTATGTCACAGGTTGGTGTCAATGGCGTGTCCAATAAATCTGAGTTCAAGGGAAAGATTATCAAGTTGGGTATCTTATGTAACACCCACACTAGCATAGTGAGGTCGCTGCTGTTCAAGTATGAAGGAAATATCAATTGTAAGTCCCGGCAGAATCCCTTTCAATTTGCACTATTTTTCAGCCTCAATGAAATCAGTGATTTTCAAACCTAAAATATGTTTCTTGTTAAAAAAAATTTAGGTAACAGCACACCACCCACTCTTCCACCTCCACCCACGACTGAACCACCGAGTACCACCACGAATACACAGCCACCACTTCAACCAACAAAACTTACAGTCAGCAAGGTAGCCAACATTTCTGGAGGGCGACCGACCGATCCCGAGGGTCCACCGACCGATCCCAAGGGTCCACCGAGAAGAGACCAGGAGCGGGATACACATGATGGACCCTCAGTGGGTCTCATCGCAGCATTCATCGTATCTGTTCTCTTACTTACGATTGTGATTGGTTTCTCGTATCTTGGATCCCGTCATTTCAGGTAAGCAATCTAGTCAGGAAGATTGTGTATGATAAGTCAAATAAAGGCGTATGGAAGTTTCGTTCCATTGCAAGTTCGTCCCTTACCAGTTCGCATCCATCTTTACCAATTCGCCCCCCCTTAATCTCCAGCTCGTTTCCTGGCATAGGTTGAGGCGAAGTTACTACATTTTATGGCCAAAACTTTTTGAGATAGGGGCGATCTGGAATCCTTCAGGCACCCTGTTAAATTTCCTTTCTATAAATTCTACTCGAAACTTGAGATATTTTTAATACCTATTGCCTAAGAGTTTAACGCGGATCCGAAGTCGTAGGTAAAAATTCCCAATCATCGTCTAATATCTTGAGGACCTCGTGAGAGTGCAATAAGTTATCATTAAAACACTAGGGCATCTTATAAATGTCCTTAATTTGCGACGCTGTATTCTAGGATCGAGCCTCGACTTATCAAAACATTTCTTTCTCAATTTTGCATTTTGCATCTTAGATATAATTTTTGCTAATCCGAAAATGCAAGCTACAACGTTATATTCAAACTACGCTTAGACTACTTTTGGTCTTTAAGTATACAGAGTCACTGTATGCAAACTGTATTTAAAAAGGAGACTGATTTTCAGATACCCCTACACAATAGCATAATTTTTTTTTGTCTACAGAAAGAAGCCTCAGTTGAGACCAAAAAATGGAGGGAAAGAAGTAAGTTCTTTTTCTCCTGGGTAAGGGATACTAGTTTTTTCCTCAAACCAATGGAAGTAGTACTCCTGCATAAAAGTCAAAATTAAGTTCCGCCTAAATCTAACCCTTACAGAAAACCAATCCCTGTGCAGCTTGAGATCTTCTAACCCTTAAGAGATGATCGCTTTTCTGAACAGCGAACAAATTGGAACTTCCATGATTTAAATGATGACATCACATGATCTAAACACAATACTGTGCTTTTGTTTCCATTCGAACGGTCTTAGGGTTACCCATGACACAAAAATCCGCGATTTACAGGCTTAACGAAGCAAGACGTTCTTGTTATACAGTCAGAATTGTCTAATATTTTTCATTACATGCATCATAGGACGCAGAAACAGCAAGGCATCGAACCAGTTCCGCATATGAAGCAGATGATGAGAACGGATACAAGGCGCTTGGAATAAGAGGGCCTCGTAAGTAAATAACCATACTTATGAACCAGCATATAATTACAACCGAAACTTAACAGCAGGAATATAAAATCACGGTAACGCCACGAAATCTACGATGACAACAGGGCCCAATGCTTTACAAAGATAATTTGGTTTTATCACCTGAGTTTCATTATGTAATTGGCCACCATAAAGAGTTTCTAAAGCATACGCCCCTAACCTAAACCCTTCGTCAGAATGACGAAATCATCACGGTTGCCAATTTGCATTATCAACTCAGTAGATAGAACCAAACTCTCTTTTATAACTCCCCACCAACTCAGCAACACGTTTTTTTTACAAACGCAACCCCTCTATACTTTAACAGGAAACTGAATCATTTACAAAATAAATAACAGAGGTTAGTGACTCCGAAAGTTACAGCTACAGCTAGAGTTTGAATTGACAACGGTAGTCAAATTGACAGTGAGACTAAGTGGTTCAATGGATGATCTCTAACCAAATCGTGTTTCGAATAATAAACGAGCCGACATTTGTGAATTTTAGAGCAGTAAAATACATTCATATTTAATTGTGAGAAGTGTCACTCTTGATCATTTGACACCGTGGTGTGCTAAGATTAGCTAAGGTTGCATGAGTCGCTGCCTTTGTTGAAAAGATCCGACATATCTTGTTTTGCTTACTTCAACAAAACATTTCCATTTTTAGCAATTTACACATCAAACTATCAATCGCCGAATCCTAATAAGGCTCCACATACAACTATTGGTGACCTCGGTGGAAGACGTGTATATGCTTCCTCAAGCACGGCTGAGGAACACAATATGCATGACCACGGAGGTAAAAAGACATCAGTACCCACTTTGGACACTAAAGATGTAGTCTACAAGGACCCTGATTTGGACCCTAATCTCAGGAGAGAACAGAGTGGTCCTGTTAGAATAAATCAACTCGTATACAATCGTATGGAGGACCTAAAGGCAAGGAGAGGAAATAACATGGACCCAGATTCTGGTCTTGAACAAGATCCGGACTACAAGGACCCTGATTACAGGGATCCTGACTACAGGGACCCTGACTTGGACCCCGATCTCAGGGACAAAAAGAGAGGTCCTGTTAGTGTAAATCAACTTGTATACAGTTGTGTGGAAGAGCTTAAAGTCGCGGTAGCGAAAGGACATAAACACGATGACGAAAATGATGCTCAACGAGAGCATCATGGCTTGGATGGACGTAGTCTTAATCACTCAGCGAGACCCAGTCAAAATGGTACCACGCCTCGAGATGGTAGCGATGAACTTTACCGTAATCTTTCAGCGAAACCTAGTCAAAATGGTACCACGTCCCAAAATGGTCGTGTTTTGAGTAAACGCTATTTTGATCGTTCTTCGAGAGCCAGCGAATATGGTTCCATGTCCAGGGATGGTCATCACAATGGTTTGGATGGATATCATCTTGATCGTGTTGCAAGACCCAGTAAATACGGTTCCATGTCTTCGGATAAGAAAGTCTACAATTACACTTTAGAAAAGTATCTTCCACCACCAGTTCTACATGAACTTGAAGATTATGAAACGATGCACCCACAAGTCTCCAGTGCATTAGAAGAGGATGAAGAGGAGGAATCCAGACAAAATGGCCATACTTATGACGCAGCTTACGGCACCACAAAGTTCTAAGAAGCTGTGATTTCAATGACCAATCAGAGCAAAAAAAAGCATCACAAGAAGCCAATAAAAAAATTCAATAAAAAAGCAAGGTTACCACCGAATACCCTGTTCACGCGAGCTACAGACAGAGCCGTAATTGGTGTAACTCTTGAATCGGATTAGTTGAGAAGATGGTGCGAGTTTTGTCTAGACCAATCAATGTGAGACCATTGTAATCCTAGATCACAATCGTTGGCAATTTGAAAATTGTGCTTTTGATCTCAATCGACCAAATGGCGGATAGATGGCCAGACAATTACAAGTCAACAACGTAACTATATTATTATTGTCTCAGTAGGTTTGTACTGAAAGAGATTATCTATAGCGTCGAGTGAAAGTTTCATAACCTTAAAAGATATCCCATCTTGATAACCATAGTCAATCCAGTTGAGATTTTTTTTTTGCTTCGAAAGAATCTAATTGTCATGCGAAGTCAGTTTTGTGGTTTTTTTAGTAGGAGGAGGACTAAAGAAAAGTATGTCAGTCAGTCGGTTTACTTCATTTGCTTCAGTCTTCGTGTGTGTTAAAAGTTCTTTCTTGAGTCCGTACCAGAAATAGTTCAAGTATACATTGAAACAAAGTCTTTTTTACAGCGTGGAATTCTATGAATTCTCGGTTTGCATTTATCTCATTGAGAAGTGTATTAGTTTTATCATAATGTTCGCATGCTTCATATTGAAGTTATTCAATAAAAAGACGTGGCAGCTGAAAATCGTTGCTAATCTCACTTGATTGTTCCTAACTTGTGACTCAAACAGTAGCTCTGGGGATTCATGATTTCTTTTGTCTCGAAACTGGCAGCCCCACCTCACACATGTCCCTTCGAAATACCACTTTGGGCCAATTCTTTTAAAATCACGAAATAGATCTAAACGTAAAAAGTTCTTAGTTTTTAATGGCCAACATAATGACCAGCTCCTAGTTGGCTTGTTAGCCTAGTTGGTAAAGCGCTACACCGGTATCGTAGAGGTCATGGGTTCAAATCCCGTATGGGCCTGAATTTTTTTCAGGCCTTATTTCAACTACTATTTCAGTAGTGTTCATAACTGCGAGTATCAATTTTATATTCGTTTCTTAGTTTTAGTAGCAAAAAACGAGTATAATTCAAAATTGCACGTAGTTCTGGAAATGCCCTCTTTGAGAAAACAAACTGTTAAACACAATTATAGTTTAAAAATAATTTACACTGAGGATAAAATTAATAATAATAGGAATAACGCTAACCTTCTTATCTAAAAAGACTATTCCTGTTAATTGTATTATTCATGTTAATTAAATTTGATGGTTTAGTCTAATCGTCAGGGTGTTTGTAGGCCAGAGAAGGACTGTTGTCGGTGGTGGTGACTGACGCCTCGATAACATGGGCGGAAGTCATCATCAAAGTCAAGTGAAGAGTTATTATCAGTCGAGTCGTATAATTCCGGCTCGTGTTGGCTAATTGGTCAGTTTAGTGGTGATATTTTGGTTACAGGACTCAAGTGTTCTGATTGGTCGGAAATTTTAGGTCGTTCCGTTTGATTTGTTTGTGGTTTAAATTGTTTGTGTGGTGCCGATAGTTGTTGACTCTTGCTGAGGGCAGTCCGTTTTGCGTCAGTAAACCAGCTTTCCAGAAAATTGAATTGAAAATATATAGTGCTGTAGGTTAGGCATTGCGAAGAGTCTCAGTCAATAATGTGGTTCGTAAAACGATAATGTTCAGCAATAGGATTGTTGATATCACCATTTCACGTCGCTCGCGAATGGTTTCTACCAGTCTATCTAAGGTAGGAGGTCTGACAGTCCGAGCACTTGATCTTGTAAACCGCTGACTGGTTGTCCTTCGCTTCGTCCTTGTCTGTAAAGTTGGTTAATAACTGACGTAGTGCAGTGATGTGTTTGTGGGTGACACTGATATCGAAAGGTTGTGAGATCTTCTCAGGACTACCTTCTCTTTCTAGTTCTTCGGTTCGTCCTTGTCTGTGGCGTTGGTAAATATCTGAAGTAGTGCAGTGATGTTTTTATTTGTGGTCGACGCAGATATTGAAAGGTTGTAAGATCTTCTCGGGACTATCTTCCCTTTGTGTTCTTCGGTTCGTCTTTGTCTGTGGCGTTTGATTAATATCTGAAGTAGTGCAGTGATGTATTTGTGGGTAACACGGAAAGGTTGTAAGATCTTCTCGGGAATACCTTGACGTTGGTTAGTAAGTGACGTAGCGGAGTGATGTATTTGCGGGCGATGCAGATATTAAAGGATTGTAGTCTATCTCAGTACTACCCTCACACGGACGATAAGACCACGCTAACGAATATTACTTTCGGTGTGAAACGATTTACTGTAGGTACTTAATCATAAATTGTTTTTTTGTGCGTGATGTCGAATTTACTTCGTAATATAAAACTTCAAGAATTGTCAATTTGACCAGCTGATATTTATCTCTGTGCGACAAACCAATAAGCGTCTTCGTAAATGCATGGAATTTAAAGTAGGGAAAATTTAAAAATATAACGAATCTCGCTAATGATGAGATAGTTTTCTACCTCATGATGTTCCTTAGTGGCGCACATTTGTAATTGTCCCTGACTCAGTCCAAACTGATCCCAAAATTAAAGCAAAGCATATGATCAGATATGTTTTATTTTGCTCGCGTGTTCATCAAGCTATGGTGGTGTCACTTTCATTCACTGTTGATCAAATATCAGTTTTTTTTAAGTGTTCCGAGCGTAATACGTAACATCATTAATCATTATTGTCGGTGATGGCTTTATTTACTTCATGTCATAACATGATGAGGCAATAACGATGATACTCAGACTTCTTGTTCCTGTCAGATATATTACACTCTTCCCTCTACTGAAGCGTGATATCTCTTAAAGTTATGATGCTAAATTAGTGTAAACCGAGCGGATTTAAATAAGTTGAACAATATCTCACAATATGTCTGGGCCTAAATCAGAGACGTCAATGGTTCTTTCTTTAGCAAAGAAGTTTTTCTTTGATTGAGCGGAAACATTTTCATTTTAACACAGAAACTAAGCTTTACAGAAAACAGGGCGACAAATGTATAAAAAGTACTGAACAGTTTACAATAAAAGCAACTTTGCTTTACCTACAAAATAAAAATTCTTTTGGCCTGCGGAATTCGACGTTTTAATGCGGTTACGCTTCCGCTCTATCATTGAAAACAAATTAACTGTACTATTCTTGAGCCATAAAAGGGAACACAGCAACCAATTGTTATTCAAATTCTTTTGGTAGAAGAAATGTCCACGGTTGAGTGAAGAACATTAGTTTCGAAACCTCATTCGAGAGTTGGTTTGACTTTCTTAACAGTGCTCTTGTTTTGGTGGCCAAGAGAACACAACCGGCTGGCCTTTTGCTTCCGGGAAGTACAAATATAAGAACTTCTTATCAACGTTAGTGTAATCAACTCTGTGGCACTTCGTGTTCTTTCCCGCGAGATTTAAAGATCTGAAACATGAAGATGCATAATATTCTGCCTCTGGTGAGTATGTTAACTTGTGTAACAGTTGTTACAATGACATCGGATATCGAGATTACCAGAAAAATTCCAGCTGGAAAAGAAGGATGGACGATTGGGAAAGATATGTTCAAGATTCCTTCATCTTTATGCGGCGAGATCTATAATTGCTCAAGCTTTGACGCCGAGGCGACAAGTGTTGCCTGCACTTGTTCATGCCCCAGCCATTCTGCAACTTTCATTTTTCACAACGAGACAAGGGGTTGTCAAAACAACGAGGACGTTCGTGCTCTATTGGGTGAGTGAACTGTTTAAAAATTTGTAAGTAATAAATTCTGAAAGACTAAGAGAAGATCCCTCTTCTAATTCTATGAAAAAGCTAGATTAAATGAGTTTCCGCTATGGCTTACAAACGTCATGGCAAGCGTCATAGCGTAACTTGTGCGGGAAACAACCCTATTAAATGTTAACCGCAAAAGATCAGTGGTAAAACTAATAGTATGCAAACAGGATTTCAAACTCTGGATCTTTCAATATTCCTGTCAATATTTATGTAAGGGCGAGGGATTCTGAAGACGTAACTACTTGACTACCCAGTCTTTAGTAACAATGCTTTATAGTTTACCCCCTCTCTCTGCCCTTCGTTTCCAATCTCAACATGCACCAATGCTGGAATGCATGTAGTATTCATCATTAGAACAAAAATCAAAAGTTGACCCTCCTTTGTCCTGAGAAAATAAATTTCTTTGTTGAATGATAATTTATGTGATATTAAGATTTAGATCCCCTTCGATGACTGTTCATTTTGATTATCGTTCTTCATTTTTCTTAAAACCACAATCTCGCGACACCTGTAGTCCCCCAGGAGGCTTTACGAGCCTATTAGTTACCTCTCTCTGTGTCCTTAACTAGTTCTAAACTATCGGTGACTTTGTTAGCAGGAGGGGACGAAAAGACACCAGTCTATTTCAAAAACGAGAATATCAAAAAAGAACTGCGTATATTGAAAGTCGACGACAAGAAGAAAGTAAAGTTAAATGAGGACAGCGGTAGTTGTAATGTAAATGCACAGTACTCCAGCTATTTCAGATGTGATGGCGCTGGAGATGACCTTCCCGCAAGCAACACATTCAGAATCATTCGGGGAGATGATGATTACTCTCTTAAGGTAAAAGAAAAATTGACTTATAGTTAATTCAAAAAGATTTATGAATCATCTTGCAGCCTTTCACGCCCCGCGAACCACAGAGACTTATGATAATTAGATGACCAAGCACTTCTGTCAAGACCCTATAATTATGACACAATTCTAAAATTATAGGAGTATAAGAAGTCAACGACATCGCCACTTAAGCCTTACTCACTTTTGTATATGCAAATAACATGTTCCCTAATTAAAAGAGTACTATACTTTGTCAGATTTCGCAGCATTGACTGGGAAAAACCCTTTCCATGCCGCATTAATTTATAAGAGAGTTTTCCGGTTGAGAACCGGTAAACAAAAGATGAAAGAGAACAGAAAGACCGATTAGTAAAAAACAACTAAAATAGCAACCCACTTGTTGTGCGGCAAAAAAACCAAGGGCAACCAACATACGATTTGTTTTGCTTTTGCCTCTGATTGCTTCGGTGATTGAAGCGAGATTAATTTACAGAACTAATCAGAGAGCACAGATGAACGATAACAATAGACTTCGAGAAAATAGAAGAAACTAAAAATAAAATGAACGAAGAACTTTGCAAAAAAACTTGGCTTGTGTATAATTTCGTCGATATTTAAATACGACACATCTCATGTAAATATTGATAATTATTGACCGCACCTTTATTTTGCGTGTAGGTGATGAACACAGCAAGCGTACGTAGATTCCGTAAAGGGTAAAATAATGTTATTATTGACCGAATCTTTATGTTCCGTCTAGGTGACTGACACAACGAGCTTTGATTCCATATCGGGTAGAATCATTAAACTGACAATAAATTGCAAGAGAGGAAGGAAGACCACGAGCTTCGTTTTGCTGTTTAAGTATGAAGGATCTTTCAATTGTAAGTTTAAGTTGATATTCTGTATCTCCCGTACTTTGTTAGATTTTTTTATCCCCTTTTACTTTCTAAAAGTATTATCTTTAACTCGACAACCGATACTATGAATTTCAATGTGCTAAGAAAACGTGTACCAGAATTTTCAGAATGTGCTAAGGCCATGCAAAAACTGCGTACAATGTGGATTATTACTTAATGTAGGTGTTTCTATTCACGCCAATCATGTCCTTTTCTTGTTACTTGAACGGAAATAAATTTTATCGCAAAAGGAGCAAGGTTTATCTCAGTGTGTTGGAACTTGCCTTAGCTTAGTTTACGTGTAGAAACACACTTTATAAGGCTCATTTGAAATCATTATCTGATTCGGATATTTCATTCCTACTTCACATAATTCTGATGAGAAACCAGTCAGGCCTTCTCTCGTTAAAAGCGTCTCAGTGGTAAATGCAATGAGTCATATCGCTTGCACGCTTAAAAATATCCATGACCTCAACATATTTCCATTTAAGGTACCATACCAACACCAACATTACAGCCCACAGCCACAGCAGAGCCATTGGGTACATCTTCTCTTTCATCTCCATCACTGAAAACGAGTGCAAGAGAACATGCAGCTTCGACGGTCGCCCAAAGTTCACCATCGACTTCCCATGTTCCGTCGACTATTCCTTTTACTGTATCTATGGTTACTGATCCGTTAAGGACACCATCTTCTACACTGCCAACAACCTTCGGTGTTGGCGAAGCTTCACCAACTACTTTAGCAAAGCGGCCGACGACATCAGATTCACCATCTGAAGTAAGAGTACATTTGATCTGATTAAACCGATAGACAATGGGCTTTATTTTTTACGTGCAACTAAAACTTCTCAGGAGAGAAGTTGTAACATGTTGTGCTTATCGTCTACAGGATCCTGTTGTCGCCCGTCGCGATCCCGGCTTAGAACGAAGAACAGGTGGAAAATCATCCCCTATGGCCCTCATCGCGGGTGTAACCGTCGCCATCTTGGTTATTCTTGTCATTATTGCCGTCCTGGTCTATCGACACCGACATTCAGTGTAAGTTTTCTTTTAAGAGCCTTACCACTGAGTGAGCCACGAGTTGATACACTGTCGCAGGTTTTCTGGCTCACTTCCAATTCGACCTCGTTCCCAGGGCACCCTTTCCCAACTTTATAGGAAACGCCCTTCAAACATATAGATCTTTGGTTATGGATGCATTTTTTTAAAGATGCCATATATTTTTTTGACAGGGATAAGTTCAACTCTGGTAAAGAAAGCGAAGAGAAAAAGGTACGTATAAATTATATACTTTATTCTAGTTTGGCCTCTTACTGCTTTTCAAGCCTTAAACTCAGCTTTTATTGTTGTCTCAGAAAACAGCAACGAGAAGTCTGGACGGAGTTACATTGGATACACTGGATAACGAGGATCATTACCAAGCGCTTACGTTAAGAGAACCAGGTTAGTAAAAACCGCCTTTCATCGTCAATTAAGTTTGTCCTAATCTGTGAACACTGCAGCAACCACTACTAATTTTTTTATCGAAGTGTTTCATGATTATACTTAGCACTGGAATAGATAGAGAGCCATCCTTAAATGGATTAAAGAATCCTACAGGAATATGACAGGAATGTGACCGACCTATTAAGAGATCCATAACAAGAATGCTTCATTCTGTATACATCATAGAGAAATGAACTTATCTGACTATTATATCTTAAATGTTTTGTACCTTAAGCTGTTTATGCGTCAGGCTATCAAGTATCTGTTCGCGATGGAGAAGCACACTTAAGGAATTCCAGCAAAAATGATCATAACGAAGGACATTTCTACGCTCCTTTGAATATTTCTGAAGGGAAAAACATCAATGGTCACAAAAACAACCAGGAAAAAGTAATCAAGGACACGAGGCCTAAAATGAGTGGCCCCATCAGCGTACACCAACGTGTTTATGATCTAATGGAGGAACTAGTCGTGGACCCTTTGAAAGAACCTGTCGAGGGTGGTGGAAATTCCAGGAAAAATGATCACAACGAAGGACATTTCTACGCTCCTTTGAATATTTCTGAAGGAAAAAACATCAATGGTCACAAAAACAACCAGGAAAAAGTAATCAAGGATACAAGGCCTAAAATGAATGGCCCCATCAGCGTACACCAACGTGTTTATGATCTAATGGAGGAACTAGTCGTGGACCCTTTGAAAGAACCTGTCGAGGGTGGTGGAAATGGCACTGAACCAGTGTACAACGTTTTGGAGGGGTCATGTCTCGATGGGTCTCAAAGCCCCGCCTACTTTGGTATCACGTCAGACTCTACAGACGGGCTACATTACAACTACATTGACAAAGGCAATCATCCTATGAGCAACGTTTCAGAGCAAAAAGAATCAAGTTATTATGCTACAACGGGCTTAACAGAGCCTGTTTACAACACGTTAGAGGCACCGGTCACTGAAAATGATGGTGACCCCGTGTACAACGTTTTGAAGGCTCCTGAAGATGCATAAGGCCCTCACCATTGGAGTGCTTTGTTTAAAGTAGACCCAATCCATCATCACGTAGAATAAGCTAAACAACACAAGTGGCTTGGACATTAGCATCGAACCAGTTTACGATATTCTTGAAGAAGATCCAATCTGAAACCGCTTTGATTGGTGACAATGAATTAGCTCTGGGAGAAAAGAAAGACCTTTTGCCTCTAATGACGGCCACGTATTTGTGTAAAAAGCAGTAAGAATGGCATAGCCAGAATATGGGATCCTTTCTGACATAGTGGACATGTATGAGTCGAACAAATCTTGCCGATAATTAATCACCTATTTGGAATGAATTTCTATAAAAAGATAATTTGTAATATTGCATCTTCATTTTTATCGACTATTTCTAACAACCTTAACTAGAAATATTTCAATGGAATCCTTTCTGTGATATATCTGTGACTAATTTTGAAAATTTTAATCTCTATTATTAAGTGTAGGTTTTTGATTGAAGTGTATTTTACATTTAGAGGGCCACAAGTTTGTCAGTAATTTAATAATTGTTGAATATTATCCTTTTTAAATAAAGTCTCTTACTTACTTAATTACTTACTTAGGAACTAAACTATATTAGGCCACGAATCCGTAAAATGCCATAAAGTAAGCGTTAAGATCCTCTTTACGCGTGTTTACGAACTTCTTTACACTCTTGTAAAGAATGTCTTTACGCATTGAAAACGATAGTACGTAAAGATCACGGAGAGAGACTAAAAACGTTATCTTTAAGTGCCTTGTAAAAAGGCGTATAGAGAATATTTACGATATTTTACGGCGACTGTAAAGCGATCAGAAAGGCGATCTTTACGCATTATTAAACTATCGTAAATGGGCAATATTTATATGCCCATCTGTCATTTTGCAGTTGTCTAAATTTTTTGGCAACATTCCCTTTTGCTAATCAGACCATAACAAATGTGAGCTCGTGACAACATCGACGTAATGCGCTATCTTAACGCGTATTGCCGAAAGTCGTATCGAGAACGTTTGCGATAGTTTACGCTTCTGTAAAACGATGCCGTACATGCCTTTCAAGGACTGACCCATATATAACAACACGTGTTTTATACATTGAAATTTATTTTATTGTCATAACTCTTTAACTTGATTTTGTAATTTTCACAGTAACGTAGCTAGAGGTTTATATACACGGGAAAGAACTGAAAAATACAAATATCATAAATATCAAAATTTTTACATAGATATACAAAATGTCTCATTGGTTTCGCAAAGCTTGTAGGCACATGGACCTTCGAGTTACCTTCCTTTGATTTCGTTTCCTTGCTGCCCGAGTTGTTCCCGGCGACAAGTTTACAGAAAGAGTCCGCTTTGTTTGAAAGCTCTTCGAACTTTAAGGCATTTTCTTCATCGCGCTGCCTCAATTGCTCTCTTAATGATTGGTTTTCTTTCAAAGAATTGTCCAGTAGCACAGTAAAACTGTAGCTCACGCTAATGTGGCCGGAAATTCTTGACATTTTTAAAGAAAAAGAGTCCACTGATCACTTCACACGCCAAAAGTAAAGCCAGGAGTAATCGCAAACGACGCCAAAAGGACGCTAATATTCGAGCCATGAATACAAATATTCATTGTGAACACGATCCTTCATCAAACAGTATCGAACTTGTCGGAAGAATCGTCCGAATTAAAGATGTAATCTAGTGTCAACAACTGAGTTGAAAACGTAAATTAGCCACCGTAAAGAGTTAAAACGCTGACGTTTCGAGAACTAAAACAATGCTAGAACGTTGACAGTCGGGTCTTAAAGTTCGACAAGCTTATTATTACAAACATTAGAGCATCACGCTTCCACACGTCATTGCAGTGTCCATTTTTGGGGAAAAAAAACATGATTGTCTCATCACGACAATTCCCTGATCATGAGTTTCAAGGCGCGTTAAAAAAAAAGGTAGGTTAACATATTTATGCGAACAGAAAGTTTAGAACCGGTGTAAAAGACAGAATACAGATGTAAAGACTGGTTGTGCGAAGGAAAAGTTAAGGGTCGTTGAGGAACACCAAAGATTCATAAAGAGAATTAACGGCGCGTAAAGATTGATTTTGCATAAAGAATGTTAAAGAATGTTAAAGAATGTTAAATGTTAACACAATAGCCCTTTCCTGACAAGAAAAGCCGACTTCATGAATAAATGAATCCACAATCCCCAAATAACAATCGTAAAGTGCGTTGGCGCTAACTCTTAAGATGGAAAAATGCGTTGAATCATGATTACAAAAACAACAATGGTCGTAATTTTTAATTTACTAAATTCTCATTTATCAACGTTGTCCTCACCGACAGAAGAAGTCTTTCAGGTAAATGGCCAAAATCGGCTAGTGGCAAATCTTCCAGTTATCGATTTCATTCTCAGCCGAAAGAAATGCCAACATCAAAGCCACCGAATACGAAACTTTCAGTTTTTCTTCTAATATATTGGTTTTCTTCCCCTTCTAGGAAAGTTTGAACGTCGCTGTCTGTCAGCAATACGGAATTTTAGTGTTTTAGCCGCCATAATTCAAGAAAGCGCCGACAAACAACTTGTATTGAGAATCGTTAAAACTTTTTTGTCGTGCTTTCATCAACCTGACCGAGTGGCGCCAAAAGCGAGTAACGTGTCAGCAGCAGATTGGCTGTATCAACACACGTGAAAAAATACGATATTTTTTCACATGTGTTGTTACGGCTTTTTCTCAGGGCCGGAAATCCCTGTATAACAACGCAGTTTATGTGACAAGAGGCTTAATATTTACGTTTCTTTAAGCAAGAGTTAAAGATGCGTAAATTTGCGATTTCGTGCTGTGTATTTTTCAAAGAAACCCACCCGCAAGAAAAACTACCTTTTAGCGATGGAACTGTCCGAAAAAGAATTGTTGTTTTTTTAATAAGAAATTAATATAGTTTTTCGTTAACAAGAGTTTAAGGGTTAGTATGTGCAAATTTCCGAGTTCTATAGACTGTGCTTCTGTGTCATATAAAATATAACGTGCCCAAAAGTTAGTTGATAACATTTTATTTTATAATAAACTGTATGAACTTGGTTAAAACATCGAAATAAAGTATATTATTCAAGACTGGGTAATAACAAAATGTTAGACAATGGTAAATTAAAGAAGACCTTACGGTCTAGGATTGAAACCAATAAATCATTCAGTAACTTAAGTCATTACGTGCTTTTTTCCCACGGCTGTTACAAAGTTGTGCTTTCGTATCTTTCGCCATTTTAAATCTTTACATCAGAATGTCTATTCTCCATACTGTTCTCTATACATTTTCTTTGGCATTGACGATGAGAATTTTGACAAAAATCATGATTTTTAAGTTTGTTATCATTTCCTTAATTCTCTTAAGCCCAATGCTTGATTCAGCAGTGATACCTTAGGGAGAAATTAGATGCTAGTCATCCTCAGGGGTTAAAGGGTTAAAGAAAACGAAATAGCTGTATTTACTCTCGAACCTGACAGGAAGCACATCAGGCAATAATTATAGAAAGTCTTAAGCTTGAGGAAATGGTTTCAGTTGGGTGAAGAACTTTCAATGCATAACTTTGTTTAAGCTTTTTTTTTAATGATCGAGCGAACTGTCGTTTGATGATCGAGTTAACTCTTCTGCCTTGTAGGTTCACTCCCCGCAGAAAGTAGAAATACACCGCCTGGAACTTAAAAATAAAAAAAAAAGGAAGATGTTTAATTTACAGCTGTTGGTGGTTATTTCGATCTGGGAGACAGTCTTCATAATGGCAGTGGATCTCGAAATTACAAGAAATGGATGGTTGAAGGGAGATTCAATCAAAATTCTTTCATCGTCATGTGATGAGGGATTCAATTGCAAGAGACTTAACAACAAGGAAAAAAGTAATAGCAGTGACTGTTCCTGCTTATGCCCCAGAAATTCGACATTCATTTTATACAATAAGACTTGGGGTTGCCGAAGGAACAGGAGAGTTCGCACTTTATTAGGTGAGTAAAAAAGGTCACAACTTTTGTGGAATATCATACTGAAAAATCTTAAAAATTTCATTTTTAATTTGAAGGTAAACACTGAAGTTTAACTTCGGTATGCGTTTTGCATAAATTATGCGGAATAATAATCATTACAACCCTTGCTGCGATAAAGCGTAAGTGAAATTAACTTCGAGAAATCAAACTTATTTTATGAGGCCATCCTTAATTTTTGTTAATTAAGGAGGCTCCATAAGGTTTTGGTTCAATGTTGGTGCGCGCGCCAGCGTGGTGTTTTTCTAGGAGATTTATGTTTTCGCTTTTCAAGGTCACTAAAAGCCATCAAAGGGCGATAAGCAAGGTTCGGACCATCGTTTTTTTGTAGTAAACATTGACAAAATGATTTTCGTTATTAAACTAAAGCTCTACGAAAGGAAACAGTCGCCAGTGACAATTTGGCTTTGCCTTTGATTTTCATCAATTTACTTAAATGAAATCTTTCGATTTAAAATCCGAAAAAAATAGGGGTTACAAAGGCAGTTTCCTCGGTATTTGCAATTTTGTGTTTTCTTCCTCTATCTCAAATTTGGTGCTATGAATTTTTTTTATCAACAGGCGCTAGAGAAGGGCACAAATATGTTTAACGGTCCAGGAAATCTTAGGACATTCCATTGAAGGAAACGCGATAAAAATCTTTCTTGAAAGATCCCTATTTCCTTTGTCGCAAATCATTACGTAATGGAATAGCACTTCGTCAAGATCTATATCTGAACATGCGTAAACTTTCGAATCGATCGCCTTTAGGCAATCTTTCCCACGGTGTTTTCTTTTCGGTTGACCTCTTTTTCAGCAGTAGAAGGCCTATGAATATTACGGGTGCAGTTGCCGAAACCCTAGATTCCATCACATAAATACTGTATTGTGTTAAACTTTTTTTAACACGCCTATTCAGATAACAATCGTGCGATCGTATCGATCCACCATGTTTGCTTTGCTCAGTTCGCATCCCGATCTCGCGCGATCAGAAAACCCTATGGGGCCTCCTTAACTTCACTTACGTTTGTGCGTTAAACTCAGGGTTTTCGAACTCTTCAACCACTCTTTGATCATCTGTCAACAGGAGGCGATACAAATACGTTCTTCCGTTTTAAGAACGAAAATAAAAGAAACGAACTGCGCATGTTGAACATGACCGAAGAAAGAAAATTAAAACTGAATCCCAAGGAGCACAACTGTACCCAAGAGTCTGCGAGGTATTTTAAATGTGGTGACGGCGAAGATGTATTGCCTGAAAGAAGCCCTTTTGCATTGATAGCCAAAGATAAAAATTATTTTATCAAGGTATGACTCCCCGCTAATTGTATCCCATGCTTCAATCCTTTTCTCATGAACAACAGACAATGATAATAGTCATTACCGTAAACTGAACAACATGTCTTGTTCCTGTTTGGTCAATGGGTTTTGTCAAGAGTCATTCCGCCAATCGAATTTAAACTACCAATTAAAACTAAGGGAGACTCACAATAAGCCAATGAGAAGTAGAGTGAAACAACAAACTTTCCCGAAGCCCTGGAAAACGTGAGAGACCCTAATTTGATTTTCTGTTTTACTAGTGCATCAAACTGGTTGAGAGGCTAGCGTGAGTTTTAAAGAACCATCACAGAGCACCAAAATGAAGCAAAAGCAATGCAATCCAAAAATAAAGGAAATAACAGTAGACTCCGAGAAAATGGCGGAAACTTAAAATTAAACTGAACGAAGAACTTTGCAAAAATATTTGAATACGACTTATCTCATGTAAATATTGATAATTATTGACTGAACCTCTATGCTGAGTGAATGCGATGGACACAGCAAGCATAGATTCCGTAAAGGGTATAAAATAATGATATTATTAACCGCATCTTTATGTTCCGTCTA